TGGGTCCAAACAGCACTTGCCTGCTGGGAATTGGGTAGCTCCTGGAATGGTTCAAAGAGCCCTGGACTGTGAGTCAGGGGATCTGGGCTTTGATCTTGGTTCCACCAGTGCCTCGCTTTCTGGCCTTGTGTTTACCTTTTTTTGTCTTTTTTCGTGACCAGTAACGGGATCGCAACCCTCAGTGTTGCGCCCGTACCGCGACCGGCAACAGGATTGCAACCCTTGGTGTCACGCCCGCACCGCGCTCAGCCAGTGAGTGGACCGGTCTCTATATGGGATCCAAACCCTCGGCAGGAGCACCACCGCGCTCCCAAGCGCCGCACTCTACCGAGTGCGCCACTGGGCCAGCCCCTGGCCTTGTGTTTAAATCTTGACTCTGGCTAGAGCCAGATTGCGTGGATTCTGGTCCCAGCTCTGACACCTATTAGCTGGGTGACTTTGAGCCCACACTTTACCCCTCTGGTCTCACCCTCTGTATCTGCAGAATGGGGGTGATAAAGACACCCCACTCCCAGGCATGTGCCGACGATGACTGAGATAATGTGTGTAAAGCCCTTAATGCAGGTCCTGGCGCCTACGACGAACTCAGTTGGGATTAGTCTGTTTCAAAGGCCCACGTTTTCCTTGTCTATAAACTTAGGGCTTGGAGAGATGATTTCTGAGGTTTCTTCTTGCTTTGACAGTCAGTATTTGTGTTGTAACCAACAGAGCTGTAAGCACCAGCCTAGGTGAACTGAGCCTTTTCAGGACACATAAGTGAATGCCATGCTTCTGTTCCCAGCTTCCCTTCACGTATGCTTATTTCCTGATCTTTGCCAAAATGCCAGGAGAGGGGGTGGTCCCCATCCGCTAGGTGAAGAAACGGAGGCTCGGGAAGGGGAAGTGACTCGCCCAAGATTCCACACAGCAGGTGGTGGCGCTGGGCTGAGCCCCTGTTGGCCACACGCCCAGGCCTGTGTCACTGGACTGGGCTGGATGGACTCCCCTTCCCTACTTAGTTAAGTGCCCTGTTTCTCTGCTGCAGAATTCCAGAAGGAGGCTGAATCCGAGGGCAAGAAGAAGGGGAAGTTGAAGACCATGAGGGTGCTGAAGCTGCTGGGAAACAAGCGTGAGACCAAGAGCAAGTCCTCTGGGGACAAGAGCTAACAGCGAGGGAAGCCAGCTGTGGACTGTCTGCCTCCTGGATCAGCCCTTGGGCTGTGCTCCCTCGTGGGGCACCACCTGCCTCAGAGCAGTTGGGAGGAAAGATGACTTCAGGGAAGGAGCCTCTGGGTGACGGCCTCTCCCTCCTCAGGGTCCTCTGGCGGGGCTGGGCCAAAGAGTTTTCCTCCCTCTTCTCTGAGCTCCAGGCAGCTGTGATTCCTCCCTGCCCAGTCTGATTCTGAGGACTCTGGATGCTGTGACTGACCCAAGGGGCAGCGGCCGAGCACGTTCACTCCCTTGTCCCACCCAGCTGCTGCTGTGATGGGGCAGTTCCTTGGTCCTTCTTCCTCTCTGTACCACTTCCAGATGGGATTCTTAGCTGTCCAAGTCCTGCCATGGTAGCTCTCTGGCCCAGGTCTCCTGCCTCTGTAGGCTGCCCCTCTTGGCAGGCTGGCGAGTAGCACTTGGAGGTGCTGGCTTCTTCCTGCCCAGCCCTGGCTCCGAGCCTCTGCCCTCTTGTCTGGTGCAGGTGCCCTGAGTCTCAGTTTCTCCTTGCTCAGGAGCTCTACTTATGAAATCTCTAATTGAGTCTGAGTTAGTTACTGAATGGCCTGTGCTGTGCCAGACACGGATGGGCCTGATGGGCAAGTCCCTCCCTCCCTTCCTCTCTCAAAGCTCTAGGAGATGCCTCCTTCCTCTCCCCTTATTCTGCAGGAAACCTCGCTTTCTGTGACACAGGGCTGTGATGGCCATGCTGGGGTAGGTGGGTGTCCTCCACTAATTCCCCCCAGTGCTGAGCCCTCCAGGAAGGGCCTCTGGGAGGCAGTCCCTGGTTGCAGTTCCGGTTCCTGATTGTCAGCCTAGGGAGGGTGCGCTTCAAGTAGGTGCTAATTCTGGTTCTTTAACACATTGTAGTCTGGCCCCTAACTCAGGCTTTCCTCCACACCCCAGGTCCAGGGGATAGGGTCCATTCTGTTTGTGGTCATCACTAGTCTTGTCTCCTCTGTTTGTTCTCTCCCCAACCCATTCCCACCAAGGGACAGATGGCCACTTGCCCCAGTGGGATAGCTGTGGGAGAGGAGCGATGGGGATACCAGCTTTTCCATAGGGAATGTGCCCAGCAGTTTTTTGGTTGAAGCACTGTTTCTATAAGCTATCTCTGGGATGCCCCTAGGTCCCCCTTCCCTCCATGTACCTCTGGGAAAAGATTGCACTGTATTAATTCTTGAGGATTTTCCGCACCAACAATAAATGGAGACAACCTCATTTGCCAGTGCCTTGCGGTGTCGGGTCGCGTCTGCCTTCCTGCCTGCTTCTGCCCTGCCTCATGGCCAGGCATCTCTGGTTGCCCCAGAGGGTCTGGGGCCATGTTGGGGCTGTCAACTGGAAGGGACCTTGGCCCTGACTGCCTGCCATTGGACAGGATTCCCTTTCTCTGCAGGAAGAGGTGGCCTGCCTGCTCCTGTGTAGCCCCTGGTGGTTTCCTTCCCAATGTGCCTGTTGTCCTAGAGCTGGGGTTACCAACACCAAGGCCTTTCAGGGGCCAGGCAGGTAACATGTGAACCAGGCTGGGTGTAACCTGAAGGATGGCTGATGGCTGCCACAGTGTCAGGAGACAAGGGCAGTGGGGACAGAGGTGGATTGGAGTGTCTATGCATAGCCCAAGGGGTGTTCTCCCCCACTTAAGTCAGCTGTAACTGGTGGGAGTGAACATGGGCCCAGTACTGCCAGATCTTTTCCATTTTTCAAAAGAATCTGGAACTCCAGATTTTATATGTGTGTAATGTATTATTGTTGACAACGAATCTGATTTTAAATCAAGAGTAGGCTGATACGGTATTGTCAAAGGTGGGCTGAGTTTGTCTTAGGATTCTCTAGTTTGCAGCCTCTGGACAAGGGGATGGGACCTCCTAGGTGGAGGATGCTGTCCCCATCGTGTTGCACCCTCTGCCCTCAATTCTTGAGGTGTGTGGACACAGAGGCTTCCCATGGCTGTTCCTGAGCCGGCCCCTCATCTGGTCCTCTTCACTTCCAGGACCCTGTTTATTCTGCAAACCCAAACTTGGGTCATGTGACATGACAGGATTATTGACTCCTTCCAGGAGCAGGGGACAGCCCAGGAGGGTTGGTTAATATTTCCAAAACATGTTGGTGATTTATGGGGACAGAATACTGGAGAAGGTAGGGCTCATGGGTGTCAGATGCCAGAGGGAAGGGGACTGCTGTGCTGTGCATCAAGCCAGGGGTGGATGGGGCTGCTGTCCTTGTCAGAGGACTCTGGGCAGCCCTTTCAGGCAGGGCCTCACAGAAGCACCAGTGGAGCGGAGGCTGCAGGTTTTGCCCAAGGTCACACAAGCACTGCTGGGGTTGGAACTCCAGAGCCAGGCCCTTTCAGCCTTGTCTCTCCCGCCCCTTTGTGTTTCTTTGTGTAGGCCATGGGTTTAGTGGAAAGACATAAAGTTAACTTAATCCTCAGTAGGCTACTTGTTAGTTAAATGCACTTGGTTGTAGTAATTGGTGAGTCTTAGTTTTCACACAGGGATAGAAACTATCACAGAGGTTTGCTGAGATAGTTAACTGAGAGTGAATTTCAGTCCCTACCATAGCTCTGGCCACGGAGTTGGTCTCCATTTCCACTTGAAATATGCAAACAGGGGCCGGCCCCATGGCTAACTCAGGAGAGTGCAGTGCTGGTAGCGCCAAGTCTGTGGGTTCGGATCTTAGATAGGGATGGCCGGTGCACTCACTGGCTGAGCGTGGTGCGGACAACACCAAGCCAAGGGTCACGGTCCCCTTACCGGTCAAAAAAAAAAAAAAAGAAAGAAATACGCAAACAGGTAGCCAGAAACCATCTGTGCTTGATAAATTCTAACTCTTTGAGCAAATAAGCCTTATCCCTCTGAAAACAAAATGGTGTGCATCATGACACATGTTAAATGTGATTTATTGGCTAATTAATCACTGTGGTTAAACATTTCCAAGGCTATAAGAAGTCAAGTAAGGAGGTCCTAAGACGGGTAGGAAGAAAGGAATCATATTCATTCCCAAGTTCAGAAAACTAAGTGAGTAAGATGCACAAGGCTGGAGTTGGTGGGAAGAGGGCCAGCTGGATGCCCATAGACACACATCCGAGGCGATGAGATGTGGGCCTTGCTTTCACTGTGTCTGGGGCTCTTTCCCCTAGAAAAGACTTGAAGACTGTGTCTGTGACTGTGGGTCTCAGAGCCTCCAATGGCTGACCCAGCATCCCTGGGCAGTGTCTAGGGAGCTGTATATGCCCCGGGCACCTTAGGCCAGGGCAGTGCCGTGCGACCATTTGACATGACTGAAGGACAGTCTGGGTGGGCTGACGAGGGGTGGGCTCTGGTGGTCGAGGTTGGGCGCTACCCTGCCCCTGTCTCTGGAGACAGATTAAGTGGTGGCAAGAGCCTTCCTAAGTTCCTCACTCCTCTTGTGGTCAATGTCTTCCATTTCTCGTAGTTTCTGCAAAGGGCATCAGGGAAAGCTGGTGTCAGGAGCCACCACAGATGCGAGGTGGAGCTTGACTCCTGAAACCTGTCACCACAGCTGGCCCTTTGTTTCTCCTCACATCTTTTTCTCCACGCTCACGGTGGGCCCATCTGCTCCCCACTCCCTGGTTGTTTCTCCTACCTGGGAGATTTCAGTAAGGACAATTCCTCGGTACTGCCTGCCCTGTCCCAGGGCCTCCATATCAGCCAGGAACTCTTTCCTCTCCTGGATCTCCTTCACCACTGTACAGACAAGAGGGCTGTCAGTGCATGGGCAGAGGGGGCCGCCAGGCTCCTGCAGGGCACGGGCAGCGGATTGCCACTCTTGGGGAGAGAGAGACGTCTGTTGTCAAATAGTGTGTCCCACCTGTTGGCCCTCAGGGATAACCCTGCCCCATCCAATTCTGGGCCCCCTCCACACATCAGCCCCCCACCCCCCATCCAGTGGCTTACATTCGTCAAACCGGTCTAGCTCAGGAAATTATCATGACATCTTTCCAGGCCAATCCATTTATATATAACTTATTTTTTATAGTTATATGCTCGTGTTTAGAATGGATACATTATTTATCCAGCTAGTCTCCTAGTTTCAGAAATTCAGGTTGTTTCTAGGTTAAATTATCATGACATCTTTCCAGGCCAATCCATTTATATATAACTTATTTTTTATAGTTATACGCTCGTGTTTAGAATGGATACATTATTTATCCAGCTAGTCTCCTAGTTTCAGAAATTCAGGTTGTTTCTAGGTTTTTTTTTTTTTTTTTTAAAGATGACCGGTAACCACGCTCAGCCAGCGAGTGAACCGGCCATCCCTATGTGGGATCCGAACCTGGGGCCTTGGTGTTATCAGCACCGCACTCTCCCGAGTGAGCCACGGGCCGGCCCCTTGTTTGTTTTTTACTACTTCAAACAATGCTGTAATAAACATTCTTGTGCATCAAGTCTTTGGACTGGGGCTGTTATTTCTATAGATGGGGTGCTAAAGCTTTCTGTTTGGATGGCAGTAGACAGCTGTTCCTCCTGCTGTCCAGCCCCCGGGGTTCCTTCCCTAGCCCAGGCAAGTGTGTCACCTCCTATCTGGTCAATTGGCCTCTTCTCTCAACCGCCCTAAAGCCTAGCTTAGAGCAGCCTCCATCCACAGTTTGGATCTGGCCCTGTTTACCTTTTCCACCTTTCCAGCCTTCTACATCCATTCAGTGAATTCGTATTGAGCATCTACTCTGCCAGGCTCTGGACACTGGGGGAAAGTGGGAAGTAAGACAAAGTTCTGTCCTCCTGGCTTATGTCTGAGGTTGGGGTAGGGTAGAGGTGATAACAGGTAATATATACAGCATGTTGGATGGCTGGAGCATGGGGTGTGTCACAGGATTTAGTTTTAATATGGTAGCCAGGGAAGGCCTCACAAAGGTGACATTTGAGAAAATACTTGGGAGTGGTGAGGAGGCCAGCCCTGCAGATATTTTGGGGAAGAGCCTTCCAGGCAGAGGGAACAGCTGGAGCAAAGGCACTGAGGTGGAAGGATGCCTGGAGTTTCTAAGGAACAGCCATGAGGCTAGGGTGGCAGGAATGGAGTGAACAAGGGGGAGCAGAGGTCAGAGGTCACGGAGGCCTCTGGAAAGACTGGCGTTTAGTTTGTGTGAGATGGGAAGCCACTGGCGGCTTTTGAGCAGAGGACTGACCCTTTGGCTGCTGTTAAAAATCCAGTGTCTAGGGCCAAGGGCAGGGGCAGGGAGACCAGCTGTGAGGCTACTTAAGTACTGTCCTGGAGCGATGGTGGGAACCTGGGCCAGGTGGTGGCAGAGCAGCTGGGGAGAGGTGGTCAGGGTCACGATATGGTCTGATGGTCAAGCAGACAGGATTGCCAGTGGGTCGGATGTGGGGTTGGGAGAATGGGGGAATCGAGGATGGCTCCGGGGTGTCTATCCTGAGGAGCTGGAAGGATGGAGCTGCCATTACTTCCCACTAGCATCCCTCTTCTCGTACCCTCTACCTAGAGCCACGCCGCACCTTTGTCTCCTCCTGAAGAGATGCTGTGCTTCCACGAATAGCGCTTCTCCCCACTTCCCTCCCTATTTCTACCTCTTTCTTTGGCTCATTCTCAGCAAATAACTGCGACCTAAATAATTCTGGGTGCTTAGGTGAAGGAGGGGGAGTTGTGGCCTGCAACAAAATTTGAACTAAGCTGCAAACAACGAGTAGGATTTGGTTAAGAGGACAAAAGTTGAGAGGGAATTCTAGGAGAAGAAACCAACTCAACACCAAGGCTCGGAGGAAATTTTTCAAAAAAGAAAACTTCTAAGGAGAATTAAAACCATTAGGCAAAGTAGTTACTCATGTTAACCTAACCACTGATGCAATTAGTTGTTCAATACACATTTTTCCCCAACGCCCCTGTTCAATAAATATTGAGCACCTGTTCTAAGTGTCGGGGCTACTACTATCGTGAACAAGGCAGACATAGCCCTTGGTCTCGTGGTATTTTCTCTGAGTGGAATTTCTAGCACATTCTCTTTGTAGAAGAGGGACTACAAAGAAAATGCTGCAGGGGACACCAGGTTATTGGTAAATTGCTGGGTGTGGAGATTGAGTTATATGATTCAACTGTATCATGGCACCTGTCTTTGGCAGCCTGAGTTGTCCTTGTCCACAATGAGGAAGGCGATGTGACCCCTGACCTAGCCTGACAAGGCCTCCCTCCCCCAGCTGGTGCTGGACAGGCACTGCCAATATTCGCTTCTCACTCTCCCTTCCCCACACCTCTGTGGTTGATCAGATGTCCTCCTGATAGGCATGTTCTTTCTTTAGAGAAGACAATAACTTTAGGTAGATTCAAGTAAAACTCAGAGGCTCGGACCTTCTGGCATTCTCTCTCTTACAGGCAACTTTACAGGTCTCTGTTCTGACCCATTAAATGTTGATTCAACTAAATCACAAAAAGCAAGGTTGTTTTCAAGATTTTAGTGGGCACCTTGCTATTGTGCTCATGTACTTTTACTTTTTTGTTTTCCTTAAAAAGAAATAACACAATTATGTGGTGAGAGGTGAGCTGTGGAAAGGCTTTGTGTATTCTTTCTAAGTTGGAATTCACCCAATTATCTTGTTTCTGCTAGCTATGAATAAATAAAACTAGGAATAAGACACATACACATTTCCTTTGGAGGGCTCCTATGGTATGTGTGTAACAGGGAGGGATAGATTGCAGACACGATGGTGTGAGACTATTTTGGCTGGGCAGGAAGTTTGGGCCATGATCCCTTGAGAAGTTTGGCTAGAGCTGGACTGCAGTGGGCTTATGTTGTGCCAGGACCCATGTCTGGGAAGAAACAAAGGCCCCACAAGGTCAATTCCCCAGGACCAAGGGTCAGAAATACTATTCAATGTTTTTGTCTTTTTTTTTTTTCCTTTTTGTCTTTTTTCGTGACCGGCAACGGATCACAACCCTCAGTGTCGCGCCCGTACCGGACCGGGACCGGCAACGGGATCGCAACCCTTGGTGTTGCGCCCGCACCTCGCTCAGCCAGTGAGCGGCTGGTCTGTGGGATCCGAACCTGCACTCCCAAGCGGCACACTGTAGCAGTGCGCCACTGGGCTGGCCCCAATGTTTTTGTCTTTTGAAATGAAATCCCCTCTCCCTTAAAATGGAGGAGCATTAAAAAGGTGGCCCCGAATCCCTTTGTCCAGGAAGCCTCTGGGGACTGCCTCTTACTTTTCATGGTGTCCATGATGTGACGCTGCTGGAAGTTAGTCAACTTGGATTCCTTCATCATCACTGCAAGATAAAGCACTTCCATGAAGCCTTCTAGCCTGCAGGCAGATCCCTTCATCACGCCCTATTGAAATTTAGAATTGTATCACCTTGAACCCCCTTCTGCCCTCTCTCCCTTTCCTGCCTTTTTAAATTTTATTTATTTATTTATTTTTGGTGGCTGGGTGGTACAGGGATTGAACCCTGGACCTTGGTGTTATCAGCACCACACTCTAGCCACCTTTCCTGTTTTTTCTATAGCACTCATCACCACCTAAGTTCTCTATATTTTATTTATCTTCCACCATAACATTAGCTCTATGAGAACAAGAATTTTTGCTGTTTTTTCTTTTTTCTTTTCCCTCATTGCTGTATCCCCAGCATCTAGAACAGTGTCTAAAGCACATACGAGGCTTTAAAAATGTTTTCATTGAGTAAAGGAATGAATGGGTACTTTGTTCATTCATGTGCCAGGGGCTGGAGCTGCAATTGTGAGTCAAAACAGGCACAATCCCTGCCTGATGGAATTCACAATCTAGAAGGGTAAATATGACACTAAACTAAATATTTGACCACTGTGCCAAGTCCAATGAAGGAAAATGTATATTTGGTAGTGTGAGGGCACATAAGCGTTGGTCCTACTGTGGCGATAGTGGTGGGGAGGAGATAAGGCTTCCCTGAGAAAGTGTAAGTTAAAGAATGCATGGGAGTTAATTGTAAAATTCTTAAGTTCTTTGACTTTTGGTCCTTTGCAAGCTATAGGAGCACCCTGAACCTTCCTGAACCCCAGACTCCTTATCTGTAAAGGAAAACAGCAATTGCTAAACTACAGGTCGTGTAGGGGAGAAGTGAGTTACAAAGTGTGACTGTAACCACCGCTCTCCTCCTCGCGTCCTTTAACGCACTGACCTCTGAGCAGCTCGCAGGTCCCCGGGGTGTAAGTGACCGGCTTGGGGCAGCGCCAGAACACTGTTCCTTTGGTCACTGCCTCCACCCTCTCCTGTGATGCCATGGGAGGACCCTGAGGAGGGAAAGACACAATGACACACACCCTGTCTCGCAGCCCCCTTCTCTGCTCCCCCACGCCCAACACTCAGAAGTTTGGAAGCAGGTTGCAGAGAATCGTGACGTCGCCAGTTAATACTGCCACAGTGCCCGGTCCTCCTACCCAGACACACAGGCAGATACACACACACAGTCCTAATCCCGACTCGGCGCCTGTGCCAGGGAAGTCCCCTCGCGAGGAAGGAAGCGTTAAGATAGTCGTGGTCACAACAGTACCCACTGGGCGATGTGCCAAAATGGAAACCTCACCCTAAAGTCAGACCCCGTCTGGGTGCCCCCTCCCCACAGAGAGCGGCGGGTGGGCTCCCGGAAACGGTGACCTCGACTCTACAGCGGCACCCGCGCGGGTGCCCCGCGGGAATACAGTGTAATCTGGGTGACTAGTACCTGCAGCCAGCGGCTCCGGCTACCATGGTAACAAGCGCACGCCACCTGGCGCACGCGCGCCGTCGTCGCCCCGGCCAGCCTCCCGGAAGTAATTTCCTCTGGGTCACAGCGCAGGCGCAGGATTCGCGTGGCGCCGGCAGAGGCGGAAGTGCGCTCCTTAAGGGTTTCCGTGTGGACCTGGGTTGCTGAGCCCAGTGACTGGCGAGGGCGTCATGTCGGACAACGAGGACAAGTGAGTGCGGGAGCGGAGCGACCTTTGCGGGAGCCTCGGAAGGGGCGGGGGAGCTGGGGCCTGGGTCGAAAGTGGCTGGGGCCTTGCGTCCGAGGACAGTGTCTGAGGAGGCTGGGGTCCCCGGGGGCTCGCGGAGCTGGAGAAGGGAAGGATAGGGACCCAGGGGCATAGACCGGGCCAGAGCCTGGGCACAGAAAGGCCCAGGCTTGAGGGGCCGGAGAGGATCAGTGAAGGTTTCTTTCAGCGAACTTTCTACTGAGTGTTGTAATGAGAGTATTGAGATCAATTAGGTATAGCCCTGCTCTCCAGCTGCTCACTTTCTGGAAGAGGCGGCGGGCCCATAAGCAGATAAGCCGGGGACGTGTGATGTTTACGTATTAGAAGCGTGTAGTATAAGTATCCAGAGCAAGGTCTGGCGTAGCTTTACCGGTGGTAAAAGGCTGGAAGGGTTGCATTAACCTAGGTGAGAGAAGGCAGTGGCTTGTACTAGGGTAATAGTAGTAGAGGTGCTCAGAAGTGCTTTGGGGGCCGGCCCGGTGGCGCACTGGAGAGAGAGTACGCCGCTTGGGAGCGTGGTGGCGCTCCCGCCGAGGGTTCGGATCCCATGTGGAGACCGGTTCCCGCTCACTGGCTGAGCGCGGTGCGGGCGCAACACCGAGGGTTGCGATCCCGTTACCGGTCAGTAAAAAAGACAAAATAGGAAAAAAAAAAAAGTGCTTTTGAATTCTGGAGATACTTTAAAGGTAGAGCCCAAAAGATTTCCTGATAGATTGGATGTGGTGTGAGAAGAGAGATCTATTCTGAAGATAAAAAATTGGGAGTTGTGGGATCACCGGGAGAGTAAGTGTCAGGAGAGAAGAGGAGGTGACCAGTGACTGAGCTTTAGAGAATTCCAACATTGAGTGCTTGGGGAAAAGAGGAGAAACCAGCAAAGACCGACATGGAGCAGCCAGTGAGGTGGAGGGACACCATGAGAGTAAGGTGTCTTTACAGTCGGTGAGGAGAGTGTGGGCCGTGGGAGGGATGGCCTAGTGTGCCAACCGATAGATTGGATTTGGTAATGTGGAGATCATTAACAAACAAAAAGAGTGGTTTTGATGGAGCTTTGGGGATGAAAGTCTTACTGGAATGAAATTACAACAGAATGGGGAGAGGAACTGGAGACAGTGAGGATGAACAGCTCTTTCACAAGTTTTGCTCCAAAGGGGAGCATGGAATTAGGGCTGTGTGGGGAGGGAAAAGAGAAGTAAGTTTTTTTAAAAGGGGAGATAAGTACACGTTTAAATGCTGATAGGAGTGATCCAGTAGAGGGAAATAGTAATGATGAGTGAGTCATAGTAAAAATTTGGGGGAAGATGGGTGAGACTGAAGGAGTAAATGGAACACAAGTTTGATTCACTCCAGTAGATATTTATTGAGTGCCTCCTACATATTGGGTGAGGCACAGATCTCTGCCCTCTTGATTCTAGTAAGTTGTGCTCTAACTAACTGATCTCTTCTTGTCCAGTTTCGATGGTGATGACTTTGATGATGTGGAGGAGGATGAAGGGCTAGATGACTTGGAGAATGCTGAAGAGGTCAGTATTTAACCTCGGGCTTCCACCTCTGCAGCCCAAGCTGCCAAATAGCCTGGCAGGTGATAATTACCAGAATGCATCTGCCTCTTGTTTGTGGTCAGGTTCCTTGCCATAAATATCCCCAGTTAGAGTGAGCAGTATTCCAGTCCCGGGTAGTGGAGCAGCCCTGCAGGTGGGCCTGAAGGCTTTTGTAAACATCACCTTTACTCATTCAGCAGACACTGTTGAGTGTTTATGTGCCATGTGCTGTGCAGGGGGGAGCTACATAGGGAGCAAGGAAGAGCGTGGCCTGGGGTCAAGCTCGAGAGGTGAGCAGGGCCCAGATCAGGAAGGATTTTGAAGACTAAAGACAGTGGGAAGCCACTGACAAGTTTTGAGCCAGAGAGTGGCATAATTGTTTACATTTCATTTTATTTATTTATTATTTATTTTTTTATTAATATTCTTTTACATTCTATGATGTTGTTGAAGAGTAGTTGGGAGGGAGGGGAGAGGGGTTGGGGAAAGAAATGGGATGGAAGAAGGAGGAAGGAGGAGGGGCGGGATTGAGGCCTGTGGCACCCCCCTCATTCCCACAAGGAAGACTGGGGGGCTTCCAGCGGTGGTTTGGCCATTGCCGAGCTGGGTCCAGATGTCAGGGGGGTGTGGCCAAAGCCCTCCCCTCCCATCACCCAGCTCAGGAGCCTGGGGCCTTTGCTGTGGCTTGGTGGTCATCGCTGGAGTGATTGTGCCTGTTGGGGGTGTGTGGCTGCGGCCCACGGCCCCACCCTCCGGGTTGTGGGTGTCAGGGGTCATGGCTGGGGCCTCTAGCCCTCCCTGCCTTCTGGCTTGGTAGCCCAGGAGGCTTCTGGTCCTTCTAGGTGTTATAGGCGTTCTTTGGTGTAATGAGATTTTTACTAGTTAATATCAAACTTTGTCTCTGGTTGTGTGTACTTTGTTTTTTCTTTAAGTTCTGTGTTGGATTATTTGCTGTTCCCACCCCTTAAACTCTGCACTGGAACTAATTTATTGTCCTTTGCTTACTTCTAAAATGAGGGAACTTCTTGTGGAGACCAGTACTTCAGCTCTGTGGTTGAGCTAAATTATTGCTTTGCTGCTGATTCTCTAGGGAAGGCTTTTTGTGCAGCTCAGGTTTTAATGGTTAACTTTATAGGTACTTCTGGGTCTAGTAATATCTGGTGCACCTGGGTTGTGTATAAACTCTGGTCTGGGCCTGAGTCTTTTCATCAAACTGCACCCCATGCAATTCTATATTCCTGACCAATCTCCTCTGAGTGATCCTACGCTGATGGGGGGCAGATGAGCTGTCCTTGCTGTGTCCCAGTGTTCCCCTAGTGGGCCCGTCTCCCCTGGTGCCCATGCTCCAAATACTTCCCATGGGTTGGGCCATGCACCAGTCCCTTGTGATGACTCACCAGCCTCTGAGTGGCTCCTTTTTTTCAGTTGTTGTGGCTCCTCATTCCTATGTGGATCCATGGGAACCCTATTAGTGGTCTTGCTGTCCTGGGGGCCACCAAGGCCCTCTTCTCCCCTGTTGCCTCCAGTCAAATTCATCTGAAGGGCACAGCTGCAGCTTTGGCAAGCTCCTGCTCCATGCGCTCAGCAGTTCCAGCCTGGAAGCACCCAGGATTCAAAATGATCAGAGCGGTCCTTTCTTTCTCTCATGTGGCTTCTCCTGCCTTTGTGCACTCCGTAGGTCTCTCCTCCTCTTTGCCTGAGCTCTAGTGGCCCCACCTGGGCTGTCGTTGCTTTTTTGTATTTGTAAATTGGTTGATTTGTGGGAGAGAGAGACGCTGGGGACTGTCTATTCCACCATCTTGACCGGAAGTCCCAGTTTACATTTTAGATAGTGCATTCTGGCTTCAAGAATGAGGAATGGTTGGAGAGGCGCAAGAGTGAAAGAGAGACACCAATTAGGGAACTCTTATGGACCTCCAGGTGAGAGACCCGTGGCTTGGACGTGGGTGCTGGTAGTGAAGGTGATGAGAAGACAGAGGAAAGGTATTTTGCTGGATTAGATGTGGGGCTGAGATATAGTAGGAGAGGAGAAGGATGACTTCAAGGTTTCTGGCCTGAGCAGTTAGGTGGATGGGTTGCTAACTCTGTGAATAAAGTAGGGCCTTCTGTCCTGTGTGTGTGATGGAGGAGAAGTATGTATGTCTCCTGGAGAAAGAGATCCTGTGATTTTTTTAGGCTGGGAAGCTGAAGTCCTTCTTTTCTTTCTTCTGTCCTGTGTGTGTGATGGAGGAGAAGTATGTATGTCTCCTGGAGAAAGAGATCCTGTGACTTTTTTAGGCTGGGAAGCTGAAGTCCTTCTTTTCTTTCTTTTTTTTTTTTGGCGGCTGGCCAGCCCAGGGAACTGAACCCTTGACCTTGTTGTTATAAGCACGCCCTAACCAGCTGAGCTAACCAGCCAGCCCCGAAGCATTTCTTTTTGGATTTCCTCTGTTGCATGCCACTCTCAGATTCACTTGAGTCAGAAGCCTCCCTGTCCGTTCTTCTGGTCCCCTTCCCCTCCCTGTCTTGTTGATTCTGTCTCCTAGATGTGGTTCAGTTTTGGCTCCGTTTCTCCACTCCCGGTGCCTCAGCTGGGTTAGATCTCATTGCTTTTCACCCACATTCCTGTAGAAATCGTGTAACTGGTTTCCCTGCCTTCAGTCTCCACTTTGCTGTTATGCAGCCAGAGTTATCTTTCTTACCTGCCCACATGATCGATTACTACTGGTTTTCTTAAATGGTCTCTCTGCTTCTGCCCTTACCCCCTACAAAATATTCTCAACAGAGTATTCCGAGTGAGCCTTTTAAGTCTTAAGTCAGATTGTTTCTTTCCTCTACTTAGGGCCCTCATCAGTGGCTTCCCATCTTACTCAGAGTAAATGTGAGAAAGATGTATGAGGTCCTCCATGATTTGGCCACCTGCTCCATCTGTGACCTTATCTCTTCTTCCTGTCCCTGTTCATGCCAGGCAGTCTACCCCTTAAGACCTTGTTCACGCTGTTCCTCTAACAGGGATGCTTTTCCCTTAGATACACACATGGCCTGCTGCCTCATCTCCTACACGTCTTAGGTGGTCCAAGTCCTTCAGCTTCTTAGATGGTTCAAGTGCCACCTAAATGAGGCCTTGGTGACCATCCTATTTAAAATTGTGGCATTCTTCCCTTCCTCCCTCACTACCACTATAGCATTCTCTGTCTTTTCTGTCGTTTTTTTTGTTTTGTTTTTTTACTTGTAAATATTTTCTCTGTCTTCTTTGTTTTTACATTTATTTTTTTACTTACTATTTTCCTTATTGTTTATCAGTTCTCATTATAATGTAAGCTCTGTAGGGGAAATAATTTTTATCTGTCTTATTCACTGCTTTGTCCCAAGCACTTAGAACACTATCTGACATATAGTAAGCACTCAATCAACATTTGTTGATTTAATTTTTTATTTATTACAGATTTGATTCTTCTGCCTGTAGTCCTGTATGCACCTTTTGCTCTTCTTTTTTTTTTTTTTTAAAAAGATGACCGGTAAGGGGATCTTAACCCTTAACTTGGTGTTGTCAGCACCATACTCTCCAAAGTGAGCTAACCGGCCATCCCTATATAGGGATCCGAACCCATGGCCTTAGTGTTATCAGCACCACACTCTCTCAAGTGAGCCACAGGCCAGCCCCACCTTTTGCTCTAATTATACTCCACAATTAGTTGTCCAGTCCTGTTATGGTCTCTTCCTCCTCTGTGCCTTTGTACATATAATTCAGCCTGCTTGGAATATTTTTCCCTTCCTTGTTGGCTTGGCAGCTCCTACTCATCCTTCTAGATGAGCTCAGGTCTCATCTCTGGACAGTCTTTTTTTTTTTTTTTTTTTTAAAAGATGACCGGTAAGGGGATCTTAACCCTTGACTTGGTGTTGTCAGCACCACGCTCACCCAGTGAGCTAACCGGCCATCCCTATATGGGATCCGAACCCGTGGCCTTGGTGTTATCAGCACCGCACTCTCCCGAGTGAGCCACGGGCCGGCCCAGTAATTGTTAAATATGTGAATATGTGACTATACCTACCTTCAATGAGGAATATCATCCCTGCCTCATAAAGTTATTGTGAAGATTAAATGATGTGTGAGGGCCGGCCCGTGGCTCACTCGGGAGAGTGTGGTGCTGATAACACCAAGGCCCCGGGTTCGGATCCCATATAGGGATGGCCGGTTCGCTCACTGGCTGAGCGTGGTGCTGACAACACCAAGTCAAGGGTTAAGATCCCCTTACCGGTCATCTTTTAAATGAGGTGTTAGTAAGCAGTCACATGGTCCGTGGCATGCAGTAAGCATTAATGGGGGTGATAATGGTGGCGGTGATCATTGTCATCATTACCCTCCCATCCCACCCAGAAAATGCACCCTGAGATTTTCCCTCTTTTTTGTCTTGGTGTCCAGGAGGGCCAGGAGAATGTCGAGATACTTCCCTCTGGGGAGCGGCCACAGGCCAACCAGAAGCGAATCACCACACCGTACATGACCAAGTATGAGCGGGCCCGTGTGCTGGGTACCCGAGCTCTCCAGATCGCGTGAGTGTGTGCCCCTTCACTGCTTCTCTATCAGGCCACAGTGAGCCCCCAAGCCGCTGATCCTGTCCAGCCTTGCACCTGAAAACAGACTCTCCCTGCTCTCACATTATAAACAAAGGTGGTGCTGTCTCTGTGTGCTGGGCATTGTGCTATATCCCTGCCCTCAGGGAGCTCGTGATCTAATAGGAGAAATAGGACCTGAACATCTGAGAGGTCAAATAATAGTACAGGAGAAAAGTAACAAAAAAAACAGGACTCGATGATTGCCTGTCAGGTTAGTGAAGCAAAAAAGGCTTGTGAATTCAGAGTGCCCTAAATCATTGTGTGCTGGTGGGGGGGGGGGGGGGCATTATGGCAGCACCCATCTAGCTTGTGGTGGCTCTTGACATGAGGTAGACTGTGGCCAGCCCAGTGGCGAGGGGAGGGCCCTCCACTGTGCTGCTTGAGATGGGAAAGCACAGAGTAGTGTCTGGCTTCTGGGGATTCGAAGATTGGCAACCTTTCCTTTCTCTCCTAAGTTTGGAAGAATAACAAGATTCAGGAGATGGACAGTAGATAGGTGGAGATCCAAATGTTGGATGATTGCTGATCACCTAGTTAGCCACAGTAGCGCAGGCCTCCAGGTGCCTGCTGAGGTTGTGGGCAAGACCGGAAAGCACCCTCTGCTGGCAGGTGCCATTGAGAAAGCAGGGACTCTCAAAGAGGCTGGGCCACAGATGCCTGCTTTTTTCCCCTAGGCTCACCTGTCAGATAAGTTACTACTACTTCCTGGGAAGGAGTAAATGAGGGACAGAGAGGGCAGGAGGGTTAGTGTTGCTCTAATGGAAGGTCCTCCAGAGGGAACCATAAGGCCGAGGAAAGGAGTCTCTACCCCAGACTTCTGATAAGCTGGTGCAGGAAATGGCAGGTATCTGGAGGAGGTGGACTAATGTAGGGAATAATAGAGATTAGTCTAGAAAGAAAAGCTGGGGCCGGATTTATAGAGTCCTTCCTGATGGAGGGACAGCGCTGCTGTCTGTGTATTCCCCTCCCTGGTGTTCACATAGCGTTTGACTTTTCTCCAGTCCTGTGGGGTGAAGAGGACTGCCATGTCTACCTTGATAAAGGGTCTTATGGGCCGCAACACTGTTCTATCCATTCCTCGGTCATGGGTCTCTCTTCAGCCTGCTTGTACTCCTTGTTCTTCCTGGCAAAATAAGAGCCACACTTATATGACATCTTTTGGTACTAGTGGGGTCAGGATCCTCTTGGCTTGCTTCATCACTTATGGTAGCCACTAGCTGCATGTGGCCATTTAAGTAACATTAAAAAAATTGAAAATTTAGTTTCTGTCTTACTAGCCACGGTTCGAGTGCTGAGTAGCCCCATGAGGCTAGTGGATAGCACAGATACAGGACATTTCCCTCATTGCAGAGCATTCTATGGGGCACATTCATCTAGGCTAAAAATGGTTCAGCAGGAAGAAGAATTCCTAAATTATTTTTCAAACAGACTGCTTATATGCAAGCTAGACAGTCTTTTAGCACTGCGTGAGACACTGTGCTAACCTGTTGGGGATGCAAAGATGATTAAAGATGTAATCCGCAGTCCTCCAGGTGTTTTCTTGTGGAGGAGATGGACCTGTGCAGATACCCAGAACACAAGGCAGATGCTGGTGCTGCTTTACAAACTGTACAAAAAAGGAGAGAGGGGAGTGATTGCAGGGAATGGGGTGGGGGACTGGGAAAGCTTGATGAAGAGATTAGCATTCCAGCAGAGACAAATACAGGGACTTGGTTTCGTGGGTGTCCCAAGTGCTAGAAACAGTACAAGGAAAGGAACAGTAGGATTCAGGCAGGTGTTGATTGTGGTAGGAAATGGCAAGTAGCTTGAGGCACAAGACTGGAATAGATGTCACTAGTCCCTTGAATGACAAGCTCAGAAGATTGGAGTTTATTTGGGCGGGCGTTGTGGAGCACTTAAAGGTTTTGAGGCCGACATCCAGACCAGTCATAAGACCAAGTGTCCTGTTTTTCTTGGGGAGCAAGGCATGCCCCAACTTAGTCCAGTCTGTAGTAGTCCTTCCGAGTAAGAGATATGGTGCCATTTGCTTGTTCCATGCCTGCTGTTAAGCCCTTGGATAGCCAGACTGTATTGTATCTTATTCCTAGCACTAGGCTTGCGACCCTGCACTTAGTAGGTGCCGAACAAACATTGCTTGGGTAGGTTTTGGATGAAGTTTCAGTGTGCTTCATTAGCACCACCTGGTGGCTGATGCTGTTTGTGACATCCATTTCCTAACTGGATGGTTGACGTGTTTATTTGTGGAGGCCATGGTGCAAGAAAAATTATTTAAGGGCACACTCTTGCACTTTGCACAACGCATGCACATGGCAGGTGCTGGATGAATGAATACCTTTGAATTATTATATCACAAAAGAAGAGAAAAGCATTTTGTCACATTCTTCAAAGTCATATTTTGAGAACATTTAAATACTTAGTATATAGGGAAAGTTAAGCACTTGGTCTCTGCCCTTGGGAAATTTTCGGGCTTTTGGTAGGAACAGAAATCAGAATTAATTAATTAATTAATTAATTAATCTATCCATCCATCTGTCTAATCTATCCATCTGTCTATCTATCTATCTATCATCTATCTATCTATCTATCTATCTATCTATCTATCTATCTATCTATCTGTCTATCTATCTATCATTTGTTTATTTATTTAAAAAGATGACCAGTAAGGGCATCTTAACCCTTGACTTGGTGTTGTCAGCACCAGGCTCTCCAAAGTGAGCCAACTGGCCATCCCTTTATAGGGATCTGAACCTGTGGCCTTGGTGTTATCAGCACCGCACTCTCCCAAGTGAGCCACGGGCCGTTTATTAAAACCGGAATATTTAGTAAGATTTAATATTTATTAAAACTGGAATATTACTAAATATTCCAGTTATTAAACCAGAATATTTACTAAGCTGGTGGATTTCAGACTGGCTAACTCAAATCCATGTGGGCAGCTTTGGAAATGCAGATTCTCAGGCCCCTTCACTAGAGATTCTATTCAGAGGGTCTGGAGAAGGACCCAGGAACCTGTATTTTTAGCATGTTTTCCTGGTAATTCTGGATCCATTAGTGTAAACTTGAGCTGGAATGATCAAGGTGGCTTCCTAGAGGAGGTGGGCCTAGAATTGGCATCCCCTTGTTTGTTTTTGGAGCCTTTGCTGTGGGCCAAGCATGTGCTAGGGGCTGGGCCCCCATGGTGAATCACATGTAGTCCTGGGCCCCCAGGAGCTCATGGTCTAATGTGGAAAACTTCCAAACAAGTAGTTAACAGTCTAGTGAGATTGGTGCCAAGAGAAGCATGTGCAAAATGAGTTGGCATATGGAAGATTCAGGCTTGTGGGGAGAGGGAGAGCTTGTGAGAGGACACAAAAGGGAAACGACATGATATGTCCAGGGAACCATGCATAGCTTGGTGTTGTGAGAATGTGAGGTAAATACAGGGAAGTAGCATGAGAAGGTGCTAGAAAGGTGAACAGGGACCAGACTGGCCTGATGGTCATGGGGAGTTATAAAAGGGTTATAAGCAGGTGAGCATCCTGACCACAGCCCTGTGTTGGGGGCTGGAAGAATGGGACCTGCAGGGGTGCTGCTGTGATAGAGAAGGAAAATGAGTCAAGCTGGGCTCTGTGGCTGGGCTCGTGGGGTTGGATTGGAGCAGTCAGAATGGTGGGCCTTCACACACGCCACCCTCTCTTGCCGGGATACTCTGCCGTGGTGCTGGGCTCAGGAGTCTGCGATAGGCTCTGGAGAAGGTCTCTGGCAGTGCCCCTGCACACCGCTCCCTCCCACCTGCCTACCTAGAAGGAGACCTTTCTAGGTGAGGACCAGGATGCCAACTCCATCTTCACTGCCTGTTGGGCCCTTCTCCCTATGCTTACAGTCTCCCCCAACACCTGTCCCTGTCCTTACAGGATGTGTGCCCCCGTGATGGTGGAGCTGGAGGGGGAGACAGATCCTTTGCTCATTGCCATGAAGGAACTCAAGTAAGTCTCCCAGATTGTGGTTCACTCCTCACAGCCCTGGGAGGCATCTCCTGGGCTCTCTGTGGCATCCTCCTTTCCCACTTCCCTGGCTGGGGAAGTTGAACTTGTTCCTGTAGATCTTAGTTCATCTAGGAGTCAGCTCACCAGGAGAGATGGGGCAGAAGGAGAAGGGGGCAGGCAAAGGGGGAGGGCATTGATGAGACATGGACCTCTCCTGGCTGTCGGAATTTCCCTGCTTCTGCCGTAGGAGGCCTTACCAACATCCCCCAACTCTTCCCCCTCCTCCGTACAGCTTTTGGATGGCAGAGCCCCTCCAGACCCTCTGTCCCACATTCTAGGATGCAGAAACTTTCTTGTTATTATAATTCCTTTCCTACAAAGTACATTCATCAGTCCCAAGAGGCTGCTCCTAAGACTTCTCTGCTCACATTTTGCACAGTGTTTCTTCTGCTGCAGAGCTGGGGTTACCAGGCCTCAAGTACTTGTGACTTCTTCCCTATCACAGGGCCCGAAAGATCCCCATCATCATCCGCCGCTACCTGCCAGATGGGAGCTATGAAGACTGGGGAGTAGATGAGCTCATCATCACCGACTGAGCCGGAATCATCTTCCTGACCTTGCCCCACGCCCAATTTCTATTCTAACTTTATACATGTAAATAAACTATTTAGCTTTCAGCCCCATCCGCCTCCAGCTGTCTGCCTTGCCACCACCTGCTTCCCTTTTACTACCCTGCATGCACCTAGCACAGTGGCCCTGTGACTGTCAGCTCTTTAAGAAGTACCAGGGGCCCTTAGGCCCTGTGGATCCCCCGCATCCCCTCCCACCATCTCCCTGTTCACCAGAGCAAAGACTGCTGCAGGGGAGACACCTCAGCTGCCTTCCCAACAGACAACTGAGTCTTTGTGCCCAGGGAGCTGGTTGCCACGGAAACCCCCAATTTCCTTTCCAGTGGGGACTGGTTGCAGGGGCTTCTCCCTTCTCAGGAGTATCACAGAGCAGGTCTCATCAAGCCACCTATTGTTTCCTAAGGACCTGCCTCGAGCCTCTTATCGTGGGCTCAGATCCCCTTTCAGGAGCAGTGCCCCAGCAGGAAGCGTGGGGTTGCAGTGATCTCCCACCCTCCCCAAGCACAGCAAGTTAGCAGCTGGCAGCTGGGGCAAGGACCAAGCACCTGCCCACCCCTGCTCCCGTTCTGTCCTTCCTCCTCCTCACGCCACTGCCCACAAACTGTCCTCCATGGTCCACCTCTCTGGTCTGTCACACCCCCAAAACCCTCCCCTTCCTAGTTCCTGCAGGATGTCCTTTCCTTCTGTGTGGGGCCTGTGATCTGAGGTCTTGTCTGGGATGGGGTGATGGTGCTCCAATCCCATCCCAAGGCATTACGTTACGTCAGAGCTGGAGCTCTCTCTTCCTCTGCCTGGGTTCTCTTCTCTAATCCACCCTGCTTACCCAACCTGGGATAAGACTAGTCCCATTGGCTCCTCCCTCCTCAGGACAGGGAGAGGGTGTATACTGACACCAACAGAGACAGAAGAGAAAACTGGCTCCCTCAGTATTCCAGCCTTGACCTCTATACCCTTCCTGGAAGAGGAGGAGCCCACAACCTCTGTAAGAGGCAGGGCCCCAGGGGATGGGTGCACCCTGGACAGAGTGGGAATGGTGAGCATCCACAAGAGTGGGAGGGGTGTTTGCAGTTCTGGAGAAGGGTTAATTCAGGGAGCAGTGGACTTCGCACCCCCTTCCACCCTCCTCCAAGCCTGTGGAATCCTTTAATCAAGTTGGGTGCTGAAATTTCAGCTCTGAAATGCCGCCTTTGTGCCGGCATCCAGGCAGCCGCCCCAGAGTGCGGGGGTCACTTTCTCGGCCCCATTTCTCTAAATGGTCTCTTTGTTCCCTGCTGGGCTGTTCAGTATCAGATGTGATTAAAGGGAGATGGGGCTTGTGCAGGGGAGGAGGGGAGTAGGGGGTTAACCCTTGGGGGATAGGGTGTAAGGGAAATGGGAGAAAAGGGGTATTTTTCCTCTTTTCTCTTTCCCCTTTTGATCCGCTTTTGGGGAATCACTTGCTATTCAGCAGGCAGGTTTGGGTTTTGACTTGTCTTGAATGAAAAATCACCTGCTGGGCCGGCCTGTGGCTCACTCGGGAGAGTGTGGTGCGATAACACCAAGGTCACGGGTTCGGATCCCATATAGGGATGGCCGGTTGCTCACTGGGAGAGCGTGGTGCTGACAACACCAAGTCAAGGGTTAAGATCCCCTTACAAGTCATCTTTAAAAAAAAAAAAATCACCTGCCACTAACATTGGTTCTATATTTTCTTAGGGATTGGGCATAGTCCCTTCAATTATTTCCAGAAACACCCGGCCCTCATCTCTTTACAAGTGGAGCTACTACCTACTGAGGCCTGAGCACATCTGGAACCTTTGGTCCAAGGGATGTGCACAAACTAGGTTTTCTGACTTCTCGGGAGTCATCTGTCCCTTCCTGCGTCCATTTGCCCTCCTCCCACATCCCCAGTGATTTTTCAGTCGATCTCATGAGATGCAAGGTTATGAAGGTGGTGGTTTCATCTTCTGGACGCAGCCCCTGCCCTACCAGCTCTATGCCCATAACAGTGAACAGACCGGAAATAGACAAATGTCCTTCCTTTCAATAAGGGGAAAAGGGTGGGTTGTAAAAGCTGAACATATCAGGTTAGTACTGATTCATCCCTAACCTAACAAAATTCAAGAATAGATTTTACAGGGCCGGCCTGGTGGCGCACTCAGTAGAGTGCGGCGCTTGGGAGTGTGGTGGCGCTCCCGCCGAGGGTTCGGATCCCATATAGAGACCGGTCCGCTCACTGGTTGAGCGCGGTGCGGGCGCGACACCGAGGGTTGCGATCCCGTTACCGGTCACGAAAAAAGACAAAAAGGAAAAAAAAAAAAGAATAGATTTTACATATTTGGAAGCATTTAGACAATAAAGAGGAGATGCAGGAGCCAGCATAGGGTTTCTAAGAATATTGCCAAATGAATCAGTTTTTTTTTTTTTTTTTTGATGGTTACTGGTCTGCTAGGTTGAGGGAATGCCACAGATCAGTGAATCGTGATTTTTAGCAAGGGATCAAGCAGTCTCCTGATGGTTGTAATGGAAAAGTGTGCTCTTCATGGTGATGTAATCAGCTTCGGAACTGATTAGACAGGCTTTACCTTAAAGTTGAGATAATAGAATTGATGATGGAGAGAGGTATTTAGTGGTGTATGCAGGGCCCTGATCTTTATTAGTACTTGAATGAGGATATTCAAGTTTACAAAATACATAAAGCTCTGAAGGAGAGCTAAGATCCAAAAAATTTAATATAGGTGGGGAAATGGGTCAAATCCAACAAGATGAAATCTGTTAAAGATCAGTATAAAATCTTGCATTTATCTACAGAACAAAACAAAAACAAACCCCACCCCAAACAGCTTATCTACAATTTGGATAGTCTGACTTTGCAACAGATACTGTCTAAAAGATCAGGTGTGTTAGTTACCACCAAGCTTCATGAGAGCCAGCGGTTTTGGGGAGGTTTGCCTGAAGAGCTTGCATGATGCGGCTTCCAGATGGAGGGAGTTTGATCACATTGAGGGGACTGGGCTAGTTCTTGGTTGCCACCCTTCCCCGACAGGTCCTGACTAGGAGGTAAGGGGCTGGAAGGAAGGAAACAGCAGATGCTGGGTGGAAGAAGCATCACTCCAGACTTAAAGCAAAAGTAGGGCCTGCAAACCATGGGCAGGTGGAGGGGGTGGTGGTTAAGAGCGCAAGCTTCAGCGTCAGCTGGGTTAAGATTCTGGCATCAGCCTCTCAAAGCTTTGGCTTCCCCATCTGGAAAATGGGGATAATGATCAGATCCACTCCCTCATAGGCCTGACTGACATAAAACACTTGGCAAGGCACTTGACCAGGAAGCACTCAGCAAATTCTAGCTCTTACTGTTATTATGAGATGGGCATAAAGAAGAATTTCCAACCATTGCAGTGGTCCATCAATGGAGCAGGATGGTGAAGAGATTTTCCTAGTCTCCCTGCAATTGTGTGCTTGTGAGGTGGAGTGCTTCCCGGCCCCTGAGCACAGGCTGGAATTCTGCTGAGGAGAGAGCTCTTATGGAGTAAGCACTTAAGGATTAGATGGCATGTCTGACATCCTTGGTTTGGACTGGGACATAGCAGTGCTGTGAAGTCTCAGCTAGCTCCCAGCGTGGGCCGGTGTGTGTGTGTGTGTATGCTGGGGAGGTGACATGTGGAGGGGGCAGCCATAGAAGTCCCCTCCACACATCCTAAAGGACCAGGCCTCTGCCTGCAGACAAGGGGTCACCCACGACCCCCTCCTCCCTTTCAAATACCTGTCCCTTGAGTTCTTTGCAAATTCCTCTCTGCTGGGTGAGCAGAGGGGCTGCTTGGAAGGCAGTGATTCCCAGCTGAGCCAGTTAAGAGGGAGTGGCCCCCTGCAGTGGGGGCACAGCAGGGCTCGGGGAAAGGCTCCCATCTGATGCTTTCGTCCCTGAGCACAGACTGACCCCACTGGGATGGCAGCTGACCTAACCCACTCCATTGTCCTCACTTCCTTAGTGGGGAGGAGGAGAGAAAGAAACCTTTGGATTCTCTTTCCTTACATTCTGCTTCTAGCTATTTCCAGAGAGCATTTGAGGAAGCCCAAGACAGGGATAGGAGATCAAGAGACAGGCTAGGTCAGGCCCACCAAGTGGGTAACCGGAACCTTTAATTTTATTAAGTGGAATGCTTAATGCAAAGTTAATAGGGGCGAGGAGAGGGGAGAGGGGACTACTGAGATAAATAAGAGGGGGACAGTAATGAGTTATATGTGGGTTGTGGGGGCTGCAGAGCAGGAAAATAGGGGCGGATATAGCTACGTACTTTATTCAGATATCACTGGGAGGCAAAGGGCAAAAGGCAAGGGCAGAGTGTGCAGGTCAGGATTTTAGTGTCTTCGGCCTGCTGCCAGCAACCTGGGTTGCTGGGCCCTTGACTCCTCCTGGAGCTCAGGCTTTGGGCCTGAGCAGCTGCAACTCTGGGAAGCCCAGGGAGGTGGGGCTGACAGAGCAGGGGCCACAGAGGCTAGTGAGGGTAGGGGAGCTGGGGAGGAGCCCGGGGCGGCAGGCTCCGTGAATTGTCTCTGAATCCTTTCGTGGAGCCCCTGCCGCCTCGCCTCACATCCCGGGATGTGCCTCGAGGTCTGGGACGGTGTAGTAGAAGGGGACTGGGGCTCTCTTTCTCAATTAGACAAAGAATGAGATTCTTGGCACAGAATTGGGTCTGGGGGCCTCTGTGCCATTTCCTTCCTGCGTCCATGAGGGGAGGGGGCATTAAGGGATGAGGACTCCCACGGAAGGCCCCCTCCCCATGAGGCTGTTCAAAGCTGTCCTCAGCCCCCGAGTGGCAGACATAATAGCCAGCTGCAGGCACTGATGGAGGTCTCTGGGGGACCTAACCCTTAGGCACTGTGGCACAGGTGGCACGGGGGCACGTCAGACCCCTCACTCTGTGAGAGAGAGAACTGGAGTGCATAGGAGTGACAAGGCCTCCGATGACCATCCAACCCTGGATGCTTCCCCCCTCCCTGAGGAGGGTGAGTGGGTCCCACTCAGGTCCTGGGATAGAGAGTCATTCCCGGGGGGAAGGCGCAGCCCCTCATCTTTCAGTCTAGGGGCAGCAGTCAACCTCCTCGTCCTTTGCCCAGCCTGTTAGCCCAGGGCTTTGCCAGCTGGAGCCTGGATAGGGCGGTGGGTCATCAGGGCAGTGAACCGACAGAAAGCTTCCCCTCGGCTGTCAGCCTCTGCAGCCTCCTCCTCTGCCCCCACCAGGCCTGAGATGGGTGAGGAACAGGACGCACGGGCTGGGGAAAGGGGCTCGGGACCCAGGACGGGCTGGGCAGGGGGTGGTGGTGTGGGGCCCCCTTTAACCTTTAAGGACGGGACAGCGTCGTATATACTGGCTGCTCCCAGTGTGTGGGGCTGTGGGACTGGGGCCCTGAGGGGCTGGGGTCAGAGATGGCCGTGTAGAGGGGCCGCTGTGAGGGTCCCATATAGGAGAAGGCTGAGTAGAGGCCAGAGGCCTGGCCCGAATGGCCATAATAGGGTCCTGAGGGCTGATGGTCAGAGTAGTCGAACTGGGGGCGGGAGATAGAGGGAAAAGCGGAGCCGTAATGGGGCAGACTGAGGGAGGTGTAGGCAATCTGCGAGGTGGACGGCTGGTCGGTGTAGTGTGGGGGCCCTTGGGGCCCCGCGGTCTCTGTCTTCACCTGGGCTTTGGCATCCACACCAGGTGGTGAGACCGTGGGCAGAGCCACGCCTGGCGGCTTGGAGATCCAGGCGGAGTGTCCACTGGCCACGGCCAGGGCGCTGCCCAGCCCGTAGCCAGCTGCCGAGTAGCTACCCACATGGCCTGGGTGCCCGTTGGGTGGCAGGTACTGGTCCAACTCAGCCACATCAAAGGTTTCCATGTTGGACATTACCTCGTGGCTGATCTCACCGATGTCCACGTTGCCGAAGTCGATGTGAGGCTTCCCGCCCTCCCCCATGGAGCGCCCATCCCGCTTGGGGTCTGCCTTGCCCGACTGCAGCTCTGTCTTTGGGGTAGTTGGAGGGGTGGGTGGGCCATGGCTCTGGCCTGGGTGGAAGGGAGACAGAGAGAGAGAGCAAGGGGGGATCAGGTCAGAGGCAGGTGGGCACAAGCGGACTCTGTTCACCCTCAGGCAGCAGATGCCTCCAGGAACCAGAGGCCTCATCACTGGGCTGACCTTGAAAGGTTCATATGTTTTGGCAGCACGAGTTGGCATTTGTTTACACGCTGGTCTTGGGCTGGTCTCTAGCTATTTATATATTCTGGAATCTTAGGGGTGGGTTCTGCCTCCCATTCTCTGTCACCCACCTCCTGGAGAGGCTTCATTTTGCAAAACCTTCCCCGTCGGAAGGTTCTGGCCCACATCAGCTGAGGTCGGCTCCCTGCCGCTCTGCCCTCCCTGCTCCCGTTGCTCCATGGCTGCTGACCTGCCCTGGTCTGGCCCTCGGCCTCTGCTGGCCGCTGTCCTCGCTGAGCCTCGCTTGCCCTCGTCACTCCTGACTGCTCTGTTTGCTCTTGCCGGCTTGCCTGTGCCTGCTCCCCACCCTCACCCCCACATTCAGCAAACACTTAGGGGGCACCACTAGGAGCCAGGCACTGTGCCAGGGACTGGGGATACAAATGTCAATAAAATGGGCCCATCTCCAAAAGCTCATAGTCTGCGGGGAGATCCAGAGGCCCAGACATGTCTAGGCTTGGAAGTGCCATGATGACCAGATACTCAAAGGACTCAGGAGACCAAAGAAGAAGCCACCTACTGTGCTGAGGATTTGGGGAGGATCTCATTGAGGAAGGATGTCTGAATGGGGCCTTGAAGGGCGATAAAGAGTCCAATGCTCATAGTTTCATTCTGAGGTGGCTGTTCTGTATGTGGTCCAGGGTGTGTGTGTGTGTGTGTGTGTGTGTGTGTGTGTGTGTGGTGTGTGTGTGTGTGTGTGTCTCCCCGAACCTCTGAAGGTGACAAGTACATATGTATGGGTGGGATGGCTGGGTGGGGCATCCCACCAGAGAGAACATGTCCATGATCTCACGAGACCAGGAGCTCCTTGAGGGCAGGCCTGCGCCTCCTCATCTCATTGAGGAAGGATGTCTGAATGGGGCCTTGAAGGGCGATAAAGAGTCCAATGCTCATAGTTTCATTCTGAGGTGGCTGTTCTGTATGTGGTCCAGGGTGTGTGTGTGTGTGTGTGTGTGTGGGGTGTGTGTGTGTGTGTGTGTGTCTCCCCGAACCTCTGAAGGTGACAAGTACATATGTATGGGTGGGATGGCTGGGTGGGGCATCCCAACAGAGAGAACATGTCCATGATCTCACGAGACCAGGAGCTCCTTGAGGGCAGGCCTGCGCCTCCTCCATCGGATCAGAGGCAGTGCTGAGTTGTGCACTGGCCAAGGGCTCTGGACTTCGAGAGACCTACCTGGTTTTTTTTGTTTTGTTTTGTTTTGTTGGCAGCTGGCCAGTACAAGAATCTGAACCCTTGCCGCTGGTGTTACAGCACTGCACCGTAACCAACTCAGCTAACCGGCCAGCCCCTGCCTGGGTTCTTGAGTACTGGTTCCGTCACTGGACAAATCCCCAGTCTTCTCTTAACCAGCTTCCTTATCAGTAAAACAGAGATAGAACCGAGCAGCTCAGACACTGCCCCTTTCCGGAAGCCCTCCTTGACTAGAGTCTGCTGCGTAGCTGGGTGTTTTTGGAGACCTGACTGGATGGCTGGATGGCTGGATGGCGCCTCCCCGGAGGCCATGCCACCTCTGGATCTTGCCTGGGCTTCTTGTGTGCTTGTTTCTTCCTATACTTAGCTCACTGGTTTTCATCCCTGCTCCTCCCTCTAGACTGTGGGCTCCTGAGGCCAGGGACTGCGGGCTTCTCTGGTTGGCAGCCCTGGTGTCCGCTGCAGTGCCTGGCACAAGCAGGATTCAGAGCGTGTCTTCTGAAGCCGGAGCTCTCATCACTGGCTGAGCACCTCCCGTGTGCCAGACCTGTGTATGGCACTTTCTGTACATTAGGAATGTAAGCGAGGCGGCCATAGTGCCAAGCAGATGCCCCGGAGCCACACTGCTTGAGCTCGGACTGCAGCTGTGTGGCAAGTTACTCTCAGTTTTCTCATCAGTAAAGTAAGGGTAACTTGCCACACAGCTGAGGTCCGAGCCCAAGCAGTGTGGCTTCCTCATACACTGTTTATAATGATTGGCTGAGTTAATATAAGACCACAAGCACGGCGCCCGGCACACAGTAGGTGCTCGATTAATGTTAGCTGTTATTACCATTAATGAGAATTAAACAAGCTATCAGATGTCTGGCCCGTCCATGGCACGTGTTTGACATTACATGCCATGTCTCCCCATCACAGCGGGAGACGGGAAGAGGACAACCGTTTCCTCTCCTCCAGCTGATCTCCCACTTCTCAAAATCATTCTGTCCCCCGCTTTCCTTCTAACTGCCCCAGCCACTTCTCACCCCATGGCCTCCACAGCCTCCTTAACTGGCCCTCTTCGCCCAGCAGCAGTGCCCCCTTGCATCAGCCCTGCCCAGAGCCATCTTGGCCAACCTCCTCCCCTGGCACCAGCGTCCCCACTGAGCTCCCTTTGGGCCCCTGCACCCAAGCCGGGGCAGGTGCACAGCCTGGCACACCCAGGGCCTCATGCCATCCAGCCTGGTTCTCTCTCCACTGCCCAGCTCCCGCCCGCCCCAGCTCTGTCATCAGCACTCACCTGAGGGGTGCTCAGGGTTCCCGTCCGACATCGGGGAGCCCTCTCCCGGGTGCCGGTGGTCCAGGTGGGCGCTCTTGTAGTGGGCCTGGATGGCGGCGGCCCCGCCTTGCTCAGCCTCCCCGCCGGGGCACTCCGCCTCCCCCTGGGCCGCCTTCCCGTTCTTCCGCCGCCGGGGCTGGTACTTGTAGTCCGGGTGGTCCTTCTTATGCTGCATACGGAGCCGCTCGGCCTCCTCGATGAAGGGACGCTTGTCACTCTCGTTCAGCAGCCTGGGGTGGACGGTGGGGGGACAGCGGAGAGGCCAGCATGAGTACCAGAGCGCCCAGGTGGCCTCCTTCTGAGCATCTGCCCCAGAAGATGTGAGGCGGGGGCTGGGGAGCCCAGAGGGCAGTGCCTGGGAGGTGCAGACCCAAGGCACAACTGCCTCGAGGGCTGTCGTCTCTGCCCCCAAACCTTTCAGGCGGGGGCTGGGGGGTGAGAGAGGGGTCAGCCTGCTGCCCCCGGCAGCCCCTGAGGAGGAGCCAGAAGTAGGAATAGAGGCTACAAGGGGGAAGATGTCAGTTCAAGGACAGGAAACTTTCTCATCATCAAAGTCGTCTGCAAGTTGATTGCCTCATTAGGGGGTGAGCTCCCTGGTACGGGAGGTGTGCAAACGGAAGCAGCGCGGCTGCGGGAGGACTCCGGTCTCCGCTACTTACTAGCTGTGTGTGTGACCTTGGGCAAGTTACTTCTCTGAGCCTGAGGTCCTTCACCTATAAAACGAGGATGATAATGTCTACTCCATTGGGGTGTGGGACTGGCCAAAATAATGAATGTGAAGTGCCTTGCACCCGGGCCCGGGACGGGGCATGGGCACCTCGAGAAATGGCTGCTATTCTAATACTGCTTGGGGGGATGGGCAGGAGGCCCTGAGGGTGGGCCCCCTCAACCCTGGGATACTGACTTTGTGAATTCCAGTGTGTTGGTTCTGAGGGAGGCAGGATGTGAGCCCCCTTCACTATGCGGTGGCACTGCCCTCTAGGGGAGATCCTATATCCTTGTTAAGGGGTGACAGAGGGTAGAGGAAGCTAGTCTCTTCCCAGACCCCGGGACAGTCCTGAGACTGGCCCACAGAGGGAGGAAGCCCTGAAGGCAGTGCCCCTGCCCACCCAACTCCTGCCTCAGGCCAGGGTTGGAGCGGGGTTCAGGGCTTGGCTGCCCCAAGGTGATAGGGGGCCTTGCAGAGGGGGTGAGAGGAAAGAACACAGATTCACGGAATCCTAGACATCAGGGACTGAGAGTCCACCAGTCTTCATGGGAGCAGCCCTGTCCCTCTGTCCAGAGGGCCCCTCTCTCTAGTGGCCCCACCCCTCATACCCCAGTGGGTGCCCTCTTCCCCCAGTCAGTGGAGGGCCCAGCCCTCCCCACCCCTGGGGAGGGAGGGGGTGGTCACACCAGGCACCTCCTAGCCGGCAGCAGCATTCTTCTGCAGCTTAGTGTCCTGGCTGCTCCCCATCCCCCGCCCCACCCCCCCCCACCCCTGGGGAGGGAGGGGGTGGTCACACCAGGCACCTCCTAGCCGGCAGCAGCATTCTTCTGCAGCTTAGTGTCCTGGCTGCTCCCCATCCCCCGCCCCACCCCCCCCCACCCCTGGGGAGGGAGGGGGTGGTCACACCAGGCACCTCCTAGCCGGCAGCAGCATTCTTCTGCAGCTTAGTGTCCTGGCTGCTCCCCATCCCCCGCCCCACCCCCGCCCCAGCCCAGCCCTAGCCCCAGCTTTCTCCAAGCATCCCTCTATTAGGATCAGTGTGCACATTCAGGACGGAATGGAGACCCCAGAGCAGGGCCTGGGCGTCAGGGAGTGTGATGCAGGCACCCTCTCTGACTTCTGGGAACAGGGTGGGGTGGTGGGAGAACCATGCAGAGGGGGCACAGGCCAAGCAGCCCAGCCAGCCATGGCCAGCACAGATGCTCCAGGGCATCTCTCTGAGCCTCTCTCTCACCCCATCCTTCCCTGAGCCCCCTGCCCAGCTGGCAGCCAGCAATCAGCAAGAAAACAGCAGGAGGCATGCAGGGGGCTGCACAGGCCAGAGAGAGGGAAGACTCCTCCATTGGATCCCACTTTTGCCTCCCCAGCTAGTTCCCAGCAGTGCCCTAACCCTGACAGAGACCTAACTCTAGGCCCACTGCCACCCCCGACCCCAGCCCTAACCTCAGCCCCATCTTCCACCAGCTGCAGATGGCTAAGCCCACCTCCAATCCAACCCTAGCTCCGTCAGGCTCTCTCCTAACCCTAAACCCACCCACCCACCATGCAAACCCAATCTCAAACCTAATCTTGACTCCAGAGCCAGCCTTGCTCAACATTGCCGTGCCCAATCCCCACTCCGTCTAGCTCCAAACCCCAGCTCTAGCTCCAAACCCGAGCCTCATCTGCACCCTCACATCAGCACTCTTTCCCCTCATCTCCAAGGTTTGGAATAGGGATGGGGAAAGGGTACGCTTGTTCCCCACCCAAACTGGAAACCCCACCTGGGGAGCTCCCAAGGTGGGGCACTGGCTGCTGCTACATCTGTCCTCCTGCCAGACCAATGGCACAAGAAGACTTTACCTGGGGAAGGGGCTTGTGGGACTGGGGGCAGGAGACGCTGGTGAGCCCTCCAAGGCTCCAGCCTGTGACCCCCTTTTCAGTTTCTTGACTCTAATTATTCTTTCCGGGCAGATCAACCAACACACAACCACCACTGTGGAATCAGGATCAGATCAGTATCAAAGATGAATATGATTGTCAGACTAACACAGCCACTTAGCACCTGGGCTCTGCTGTGTCTGACCCCAAACCTGCATGTGGCTCTCCACAAGTCTGTCTGTATGTCCTTCTCTTTTCAGTTTTAGAACCCCTGTTTTCCAGTTCTGCCTACCTAACCATCTCCCTTCCTGACGTCCTGGGAGTCATGAACTTGGGGGGATTTCAGGAGAAGCCTCTGGAGCAGTTGGCCAGCCCAACCCACGTCCGGATGTCTCTCAGGCCCCCCACCCAAGGTCCAGGTAGCCACCAAGTATTGGTATAGCCTTTGATCTTTGCCATTGTCCTGTCCTGCCCCCTCCTACCTCCAGGGTTGGGTGTTCAGCAAGCAGGGCCTGCTTTCCTGATTGCCCCACCCCAGTTGGCCCCTATGAGCACAGCTTGAGTGGTGGCCAGGAACACATCCGCTTGAAGGGAGCTGGGCAGGGTTCTGGGCTGGGGGAACCTGGACAGGGACAATGGAGGGGTCAATCTTAAACCCTCGGCAATGGGAGGTGGCGGGAGGATGGGGGTCCATCCTTGCTTTGACTCTCTCATTGGGCTCACGCTGTGGTCTGCTCATGGTCCCTGGGGCCTGCTCTGTCTGCCTATCTATGCCCCTCCTGGCTGTCTGTCTCTCACTTGCTCTTCTTAGTCCCACAGCACCAAAGGTACCTGCCTGGGCCAAGCCCCACCCAGATCTGGATGGACCGCAGCCTCTGCTCCTGGGCAGAGCTGGACTCCCAGGCCTGTGCAGGACGAGCAGGGTGCTGAGGGCTGAGACGGGGAGCGGAAGGGCACCAGCCCTTCAGCAAACACAGGGCAAGGACAGACGAAGGCTGGATGCCAATCTCTTGGTCTCTTGGGGGCCCTCCTGCTTCTTCCAGCACTTTGGCCCTCTAGACCAGTCTCCACCAGCAAAACTCCTCTGACAAAGCCCCGACTTTCTGGAATCCAGATGCGCCTCGCTCTTGCTCTTCTCTTCCTGCCCCGCCCTCACGACCTCCTGCCTACTCCTTAGAGAAAAGGGGTGACCCATCACTGTTACTAGGGACAATGTGCGGGGAAGACCTCTGGATAAAGAGTGGAAAACCTGGGTTCTGGCCCTGGCTCTGCCACCAACTGCTATGTGACCTTTGCGGTTCCTTTGCCTTTCTGGGCCTGTCTCTTGGGCAGCCTAGTGGGGATCAGGTGACCTCGCTCCTTCAGAGCTGCCCTGGGACTCCTTTGGTGGGGGTGGGGATTGCCCTGCTCCACACATCCCCAAGGGGCCAGGCTGAGCCCCAGACTTGAGTTGAGGGTTGTCGAACTTCCTCCCCGGGGAGATGTTTCTCCCAGAGGGTTGGGCTGGTCCCAGGGAGCCTGGGACTCTGAGGGACCCTGGGCAGGAAGGGGGCCAAGGTTTCCTCCTGGCCAGGGTGCTGAGCTCCAGCACCGGGGCTGGCAGGGGAGAGGTTGCTCAACGTTGGGTGGGGCCCTGGGAGGGAAGATGGCACCGAACTGAGAGAAGGAAAGGAGAGAGAGAGACCAGCTTGGTGGCTCTGAGACAGGGTGAGGGGAGGCATTCTTCCGTGTGCCCGCTCCCTGGGGGGATAAAGAAGGCCCCAACCCAAAGGCGGGTGGGGTCAAGAAGGCCCAGTGAAGACAGCTGGGATAGGGTGAGACCCCGCAGCGGCAGACACATTTATCCCTTGGCCGTCCTCCATCCCTCACTCTTTCAAGGACCCTTTTCTGAATTCCTTGTTTTCCCCGAACCTCCCCAAGTTCTCCATCTGACTGCCTCAGTTTCGCTGCATCTCCAGCCAAACCCTCGGTTCTTTCTCAAGCGTTTCCCTCGCATCCTCCTGACCACTGGAACTGGTGGCGGTGGCCCCCTGGGGTGTGCGCGTGTGGGAAAGCGGTTAGTGAAGGCCTGGAGCGTGGAGCCGGCCGCCATCCTTCCTTCCCGCCCTTCCGCCTGCCCCCGACAGAATTCCAACCGCGAGGGGGCGCCTTCCAGCCCTCCGCCCCAGGAGGGGAGACCCGGCCGGGCCGCCGGAGTTCTGAGTTCGAGGGTGGGCAGCAGCGAGAGGAACCCTAAGGGGGTCCTTGTGGAGGAAGGGCGCGCACGGTCCCCACACCTGGTTCCAGCCCCATCCAAGAAGGTGGCTGCCCGGAGGGGAAGGGCGCAGGCCGTCCCCGCTGTGCGGGGCAGGAGGCCGGGGGCCCCG